GTGCGCCATCTCCCTCCCACGCCCAAGTGATTGCACAAGTAGTTGGGCGAAGTGCACCCGCGTCTCGAGGCACGGCGCCGTGCGCAGCGGATGCCACTCGTCGCGCGCCAAGCGCCGCTCGTCGGCCGAGAGCGCGCGCACGTACACATCCATTGTCGCGGGAGCAATCGGATGTTCTAGTACCTACGAAATTATATCCGAAAGCCCCCAATATATATGTATATGAACGTGTTTCGCGTTATCTTCGTTGTTACAAAGAGTTCGCATACGTAGAGACTAGCCCCCAAACCTTGTGTCGACTAGATTGTCCGCGGTCATGGATCGTTGTTGGCTTGCCGACATCAAGTTCAACGCGTTGCGGTTGTTGAGCCGTGGATACTCGCGTTGTTCCATCTTGCCGAGCGACGCTTTGCCCTGCGACGCCAACTGCATCTGCTCCTGCGGTGCGTCCCGATCATCCACATACACGAGTATGCACCCACATCAACCAACATCTTTGCGACCGCCTCCGCCGTCTTTATGGTCCAAAGCAACCGTTTGGAGTATTTTCGTGTGGAGTTGAAATGCAAGTGCAAGATGACCACGATACGCTCGCGCCTTCTCACGTTGCCACGCGTCCAGGCCAGGCCGCATACGGTCATTTGATTGGCGCATCGATAAACCATGCGAGCGGATTGGCTGGCTGTCAAAACTGCCAGATTGGATAAAGTCCATTTGCTGATACGCCCACGACCCGATCAAAGGCGCACGCACACAAGCATGCACACACCCCGCATGTCGACCAAGGTTGCCAAAGCGTCGCGGCCCATGGACACGGTCATGACTGTGGAAGCTGTCGTGATCAGCGGAAGCTGTCGTGATCAGCATCGCGCAGTACATGCACGAAGCCGCCGACGTCGTCACGTTCCTCGAGGCGGTGCCGCCGACGCCACTGCTGTCCTCGCTTCAGCAGTGGATGATAATGACACGCACCGAGATCCAGAGCTCTTGGCCGCACCTCTCGGTGCTAAGTCTCACGTGCAACGACCGTGCCGCCGCGTTGGCTGTGATGCCGGCCATCGCGTCGGTCCGTGCTGAGGACGACTTTTTCCGACAGTTTGAGCCCCACGCCATCGCATGTAGCGCCGCCTTCTTGGACTTTCTTTGTACGGTTGCAGACAAGTGGCCGGCCAAGTTATCGCACGTGGGCCTCACGATGCCAACGAACGACGACGACGTGGCACGCGTCTGTCGAGCGCTGCGCCGCTGCGAACGTCTTGGCAGCCTTCAGATCAACGCGGTGAACCAGTTTCATGCGTCCGTGCTCGGTGCGGCCCACCACATCCGTCGCCTCGACTGGGTGTACGACGGCTACTCGAGTGTCGTCGCACGATCGCTGCATTGGTCGGCGGCCATTACGGCCTGGTTGAACGCGGGACCAACGACCCATATCGGTTTCCACCGGCTTGGCTTCCACTCGTTCAGCTCGGCTGGCCCACTGTGGTCGCAACATGACGACGACCTCGCGCTTGCAAAGGCGCTCGCGTCCGTACCGAGTCTTATGCTGCAAGGCGCCGATAGCATCGTCGACATGCTCGTGCACGTACACGCTCCGCTGCATGCGCTGACGCAGCTGAGCGTCAACGTCGAAGGTGGCGCCCGCGTCCAGGGCCTATTGGGTCTCGTTCACTTGGCCAAGATCACGCACCTCGACATTACGCTGCGTGGACCTAAGAAAGTCGACCTCAGCGATGTCGCCGCGGCGCTGCCCCATCTCACGTCGCTGCAAGAGCTCAAGCTGAACGAGGTTGCCTTTCTTGACGCTCCAGCCGAGGCAACGACAACGTGTGCTTGGAACATGTCGAGTGCTCGGAGCTTGCAGCGCGTCGCCTTCTCCAGTGGATCTCGTCCTCGCCGTGCCTCCGGGAGGTGTCGTGGGACGACCTTGATTACGCCGAAATCCCTGCCACGGAGCTCGCAACGAGCTTGCGCTTATGGATCGCTGTTGGCGTGAATAGCGTGCGGCTCGCAAGCGCGGGTCTCGATGATGCCGGCGCGACAGAGATGGCGCAGGTGCTGCGCGACACGCATCACGCGTCCGGCTTGACGCTGGACCTCCGCTTCAACGAAGAGTTGAACGACGACGGCTTTCGGGAGTTCCTCAACACGCTCGGTACCTGCACGAAAGCCACGCTTATCCTCTCGGAGACGCGTCTTGTCGAGATGTTCGCAGAGCTGTTTGCTGCACACAGTCTGACATGGCGCACCGAGTACGACGCCGAAAACCTTTGCGACTTTGTCCGCGTGTCCAGCCGCATGACCCGGTGCTCGACGTAGCTGGCATCTGCGATCCCATGACGGACAAATTGTTGCCTCGTCATCCAATCAAATCTATCCTCGGACTTGTGGTAGATCTTGGG